GTTACTACTATCCTCAACAGTCACTTCGCAGATGAGTGACTAGGAACACGGGCTTTGTAGTCAGGTTAGAACCTCATCTGTGAAATGGAATATAATACCTACCTCATAGATTTGTGAGAATGATTAAACGAGATAAAATATATTCATTACATACTATTCTGCTACATCCTAAGTACCGGTTACTATTATTAGCATGTTTTAGAAAGAAAATTCTCATAATGACAAAAAGACATTCAGAAGTAAATTTCGAATACCATATACTAGAATTTCACACAACGGTCTTTTGGAAGGAATATCTGTTTCTCCCTAAGCACCTGACTGGGTGAAAGCACACACCACAACAAAATGTATATAGGCATTACCAGGTGATGGCGTGAGGGTTACACCCCTCTTTCACCGGATCCATGGCGAAACTTTGGACCATGAATAGCTGGAGAAAAGTTTTCTCTTGGCACCTATCTGGGTTCTCTTCTGATGTCCCTGGTTACATATTAGACTGTAATCTGCTTTGAAACCTCACCTTCACATTTGTAATGGTTCCCTGTGGACTGAGCTGGTCCACATACAAGCTTTCCAAGGAAAGAGACCAGAAACTGGCCTCTCCCACGTTAGCCCCTGTGCTGGCCATGACCTGTAATCCTCACAACCTGTGGGTAAGGTCATTATTTCTTCCCAATTTTATGTGGATTACTATTTCTGAATCAAAGAGCGTCAGAGTTTTTAAAGTCTGAGTGTGCTTATGCAGTCAATGGAAAAGAAGAATACAATTAATCTGGATGGTCTTGGAAATTCAGGGCACATGGTTACTATAGTGAATAGTGTCATAATATGGTATAAAATAAGAGATATACACTTTCTGGACGGTTAATCTGGTACATTGGTCTACAAATCTGCCAATGAGATTCAAAAAATTTTTAAAGATTTTATTTATTTATCTGACAGAGAGAGAGAGACACAGTGAGAGACGGAACACAAGCAGGGGGAGTGGGAGAGGGAGAAGCAGGCTTCCGGCCGAGCAGGGAGCCCGATGTGGGGCTTGATCCCAGGACCCTGGGATCATGACCTGAGCCGAAGGCAGACGCTTAACGACTGAGCCACCCAGGCGCCCCTCAAGTTTTTTTTTGTAAGTGTGTGTGTGTGTACAGCTTCTGTAAGAAAAAACAGGTTGAACAAGGATGCCCTGTTTTGATGGTTGCCCAGAGAAACATATACCCACACGTAAGTCATTTGTATATGAAACAGTCCATTAGGAGATCGCTCTGTGCAGCTGCTTGACCCAAACATTTTTTTTCCCCAGTCTCTTTGAAAGAAGTCTTAACACAAGTCTGTGGAAGGAATAACTTAAGTCTCTCTAATAATACTTCAGTTAGCAAAGCATTAAAATGTCAAACTGTTTCAATTGGTCAGGGCATATCCTTATAAAATTGAATCATAGTCCTCTGTTATGTATTTTTCTATTGTCTTCCATGATTTTTTTAATTTGAATTCAGTTAACCAACGTATAGTACATCGTTAGTTTCTTCCGTGATTTTTCAAATATATTTTATATATTTATATACAGTACTTTAAAATCCTTTCATTTCACTTAATGTACAGTAATTTTTCCAAATTAAGGAAATGCTACATATAAAGATACAAAACTAACATAAAATAGTAACCTTTATTCACATAAGAAGATGATCCTGTACTCTTTTATGTCAGTGTCACTTAACTACACAAATAATCCTGTTTCATAAAAACTCAAACAATACATATAAAGTATGAGGTAGAGTCCTTTCTTACCTCTTTGCCTCTCCTGACCTCAGAGGGTGACCACTGGTTATAGTTCAAGTGCGACCTTTCAGACCTTTTTCTATGCCCATGTAAACACACAGGTGTATCTTGTAAAGAGTGGCTATAACATTCTTGAGGAATTAGGAGCACTGCTATGTGGAAAAAAATTTTGATGATGTTAGTCGTTATGTTAAAAGGAGTCATTTTCACAAACACTGACAGATCGTTTTGTTGTAGCCCAGCTTTCCAAGTTTGAAGGAGTACTATTTTATACCAGGTGTAAAGTCAAGGGCATTTAGTAAAATGTTTTACCTTTGATTTTCTGTACTTCACAGTTTGACCATGGATAGTTTATGAAGAGTACAGTATTCAGGGAAGATGGAAAAACAGCCAGTGTCAACTAAAGTAATAAAGCGGAGTTAATCCCATGTCAACAATTAAATTCCTTTAAAATTACTTGTTGCAGTCAAGAAACAATCCACCATTCTGTCATTTTTTTTTTTAGCTTATTAGTAGGTGGAATTTCTTAGGTGACTCTTTAAACCTTATATATCTAGTGTTCTCAAGTTATTCATGAAGATTTCCTGTTGAGAGGAAAAACCGGCATTTATTTGGCGTTTGACAATATAAATCACAGTGGTTATGGGGGCAGAGGGAGGTCTGTAAAGGGCCAGTTGGATCTCTTTGATGCTAATTTGTCCTGTTCCCAGGCCCTTTCTGCCCTGATATGCTTGCCACTTAAAGAAATATGCACAGAGGATAGGCAGTGAGCATCAGGATTCCTTTATGTAAAAATTTCTGCTCAAATGAAAATTTTAGAATACTACAATAGCCAAACTGTGGAAACAGCCCAAGTGTCCATTGATGAATGGATAAAGATGTGGTATGTGTGTGTGTGTGTGTGTGTGTATGTGTGTATATGTGTGTATGTGTATACATGTGTGTGTATGTGTGTGTATGTGTGTATATGTGTGTATGTGTGTATATGTGTGTGTATGTGTGTGTATATATGTGTGTGTATGGGTGTATTTGTGTGTATATGTGCGCGTGTGTATATGTGTGTATGTGTATATGTGCGTGTGTATGTGTGTATATGTGTGTGTATGTGTGTATACATGTGTGTATGTGTGCATATATATGTGTATGTGTGTATATGTGTGTGTATGTGTGTGTATATGTGTGTGTATGTGTGTGTATATGTGTGTGTGTGTATACACACACACAATGGAACACTACTCAGCCATAAAGGGAATGACATCTTGCCCTTTGCAACAACGTGGGTGGAGCTAGAGAGTATAATACTAAGTGAAAGAAGTCAGTCAGAGAAACAAAGAAAACCATATGATTTTACTCATATGTAGAAATTAAGAAACAAAACAAATGAGCAAAGAGACCAAAAAAAAGAGAGAGAGCAAAATCAAGAAACGGACTGTGAACTCTAGAGAACACCCTGATGGTCACCAGAGGGGCGGTGGGTGGGGGGACGGGGGAGAGAGGTGCTGGGGGTCCAGGAGGGCACTTGCTCTGGTGAGTACCCGGTGTTGCGTGGAAGTGTTCAGTCGCCATGTTGTACACCTGAAATGAATATCACACTGTATATTAACTGGAATTTAAATAAAAACTTAAACAAAATAAAGCATTGTGTTAAGGAGCAAATTAAAATAAAATACAGTTAGGTAAAATATGTAAGGAAAGGTGGACCTCAAATCCTTTGTAAAGCAAGGTAATATAGAAAGTAGATGTGTAAAAAACCTAAAGTTTTTTGTTGTTGTTGGGTTTTTTCTGTTTTGTTTTGTTTTGTTTTTAGTATAGTTGACACACAATGTTACAGGTGATTTGACAAGTTTATACATTGTGCTATTTCAGCACAGGCGTAGCCACTGTCCATTATATCGCTATTACAGTATCATTGACTGGATTCCTTGTGCTCTTTTTCTTCCCATGACTTAACTCATTCTATAACTGGAGGCCTGTATCTCCCTCTCCCTGTCACCCATTTTGCCCAACCCCCCACCCTCCTCCCTTCTGGCAACCATCAGCAAAAACCTAAGATTTTATTTGAGGTAATAGCTGTGAAGCGTAACATTAATATCATCTTCATAGGAACAGTTTAATCACATAGCTCCCTTTAGATTTTTTTTTAATTCTCTAAAAATTTTATTTTCAAGTTTGAATTTGTTGCCTGAATAATTTTTTTTTTTCCTGCAGATAATTTCCTATAGGATTCCTCAAGTGTGGTTGGGATTTTACATTTTTGAACCATAGCCCTGGCCTCATGGAGTTCATTGTCTCTCAGGAGAGACAGATAATTGGGCAAACTACAGTTCAGTCCTGTGAGAGCTCAGGGCAGAAACCCCTCTGTCAGTGGTGCGGGGTTGGGGAAGTGCCACCAGGGAAGTCTTCCCGGCAGAGGTGACTCCTAACATGACATCTGAGAGATGTGCACACACGAGTCAGGCAAAGAGCAATGGGCTTGGGCTGGGAGTTGGCCAGGGAACCATCAGCATCTACCAAAGCCTGGCCATGAGAGAATCCAGAATACGGTTAAGTAAGTGCTAGAAGTTCAGTCTGACTGTAGGGTAATTAAAAACATTTATTATGATAGTTATACATGTCCACTGTATATAAAATTTGAAAAATACAGGAAACAAGAGAAAACATATGCCATCACTCATTTCAAGCTGCAGAGTTTCCTGTGAATATTTTCTTACGATTTTGTCATGCCTTACATTTGTATTTATAGGACAACACGTTTGGTATACTCCCAGTGCAGCTTAATCCAGTGCTATGTATGGAGGCATAAATGCGTGCATGTATGAAGACATTTTATTTTTTTTTAATTTTCTTTTTAAAGTTTTATTTATTTATTTGAGAGAGAGAAAGCGAGCATGGCGGGGAGGGTCAGAGGGAGAAGCAGACTCCCCGCGGAGCAGGGAGCCCAATGTGGGACTCGATCCTGGGACTCCAGGATCATGACCTGAGCTGAAGGAAGTCGCTTAACTAACTGAGCCACCCAGGAATCCCAGTATGAAGACATTTTAAATAAAATTGGGATCACGCCAAACATGCTGTGTGTTACTTTATTTTTTAACCTTTCTTTTTTACATTTCAATATACTTACTTATTTTAATGCCCTTGGATAGAATTACATTTCAAGTGGAAATGTTTCATCTCTGTGAATAAAAAGAAATATTCTTGAAGTGAGCTATTTGTATTCTTCTCTGCAGGAAGAATGTTTCCTGAACCTAGAGGCTCCTATATCAAGGGTATGTGGGTATGACACACCATTTCCTCATATTTTCGAGCCCTTCTACATCCCAGACAAATGGAAATGCTATGATGCCCTTCGAAAAATGATCAACTATTGATCATATTGGTAAGTCAGCCCTGCATTTTGACAAAGCTAGCATATGTCACTCACATGACTGTTCCGTTAACCAAGAGCCACGGTCATCAGTGCATTGGCAATTTCCAGAACAAAGTGGATTGAAGAAAAAAAATTGAAATTTATAGTGGTATATTTACATATAATAGAAACACATCAGGTATATATTTATCTGATATCTATAAAACATGCGTGCGTATATTAACATTGAGAAATCAAATATACCTTACTCCACTCTTCCAACTTTATCCTCATTTCTGTATATTTTTATCAGCCATTTAAATTGTTCATGAATTGGGTTAATTTCTGTTATTTAAAAATGGTCCTTCGAGCACCATTGGTTTGGACTCCAGTGAATTTAAACTATATGATGATTCATAACATGAAATTTGCCTTTATATTATCTAAAAATAGGTTTGTTGAGCAGGAAACCTATTTATTGTGTATAGGGAAGTTTTTACTTAAAAGAAAAATCCAGCACCACCACCATTTCCAGAATCCTTTTTGGCAAGTGAATGTTTTTAAATTGTGGATAATAAATGACATTTATTTATTATGATTTTCGATGCTTATCTGCCTCTTCAGCAGTGTTATTCTAGCAAAAAATGAATATCATTAAAAACTGTTTAGTTTTCAGGTTTTAATATAGAAAGAAGTTGCTATCACTGACACTGCTTTGTTTTATCTTGGCATTTTTGAAATGCATAGATAAGATAAAATTTTACATTTAATATTTTAATATTAACATGTGATATTTACATTTTAATATCTAGATTGTCTAAAAATAGTAATAATAATACATTTTGAAGAACTGCCATCTTTCAAAGAAAAAGGGAGAATAGGCTCTGTGTAATAACATAAGCCCACACTTTTTTAAAGATAAGAAATATTGTAATTCTTGAATTCTGTGTCTGAGGAGTAAACCTAGCCCATCGAAAACCAGAGAGATACCTTTAAAGTTGTACAGATAGAGAAAATAATGCCCCCTCCATTTGCCACTATGGCCCCCACATTTTTTGCAGTTCTATTTTGAGAGTGTTGCAGATGTAAGTTTGGGCCATTAGTCCACACATCCTTGGTATTCTCTCAGACACACTGAGGGAAATGCTGTGTATCTGGTGTCCTCTTAATGTCTGTGAAAGCAGCTGGCTTCGACAGTAAGTCACACTTAGGACTAGTTAGAGGAATACCATCTCTTTTGTCCATCTTCTTCTTTCCATGGACTATCCCTAATGGAGATCCAAGGTAATAATAACGTGTGGCTATAGAGTTTAGGTGCTGGTTTAAATTTGGATATATAATTCTTTTTAAACATAAAAAATATTTAAACCTATTGAAAACATGATAAAAGAATAGTTTTTCTATGCTTTAAGTGAAATATGGCATTAAGGAAAAGAGTCATGCAATTAAGAAATCTATATTTAATTCATGATGGCCAGAATGTCTATAATTGTTATTAATTTCTTTTACAGAAAAACTGGAAGATTGTGACTAGATATGGAAATATTTTTCTGAAAATTCTTTTTATTTCCTCAGACTTCTCTCTTCTTGAAAATAGAGTTTTTATGAACTGAACCATCATGGATATTGCCTGAAAATTTTTAATTAGTTATTGTATTAACACATATGAATTGATTTCCATTAAGAGTGTCTGATTAACTTTTTAAAATGCTTCACTTGGTAGTCTTATAAATTCCATTTAATTACATCTGTAAATATTGGGTATGGGGTAGTAGTCAATAAAGCAAAATCAGATTGTCCTCAGGTTGTGTGTCTTTTTTTTCATTAGCTAAAAGAATCTTCATCAGAGTAATAGATTAACTTGTTAATTAAATCTGAATGAAAGTGAAATGCTTAGAAATGCTGATTTTCAGCTTCATTATATTTAGTGTAGTTCTTTATGGCTAAGATGGTTGTATGTTGATGAAACTTCTGGGATATTTTTCCTGGTTCTTCCCTCTTGTCTCAACAAGATGCATTGATGGGGTTGCCTGGTGGCTTGGTCCTTAAGCTGCCTTTGGCTCAGGTCATGATCCCGGGGTCCTGGGATCGAGCCCCGCATCGGGCTCCCTGCTCAGCGGGGAGCCTGCTTCTCCCTCTCCTCCCAGCTCGCGCTCTCCCTCGCTATCGTTGTCCTTCTCTCTCTCTCTCTCAAATAAATAAATAAAATTAAAAAAAAATGCACTGGTGGGCATACTCATTTTTTCTCCAAAGCATGGTGGGGCAGGACCATCCTTGCTGCCTCTCTTCCTAATTTTGAGAGATGGACAGCATGAGCCTGCCTTTTGTTATAAAGTTGCCAAGCTTTTGCTACAGCTGGTTTTTTTTTGTTTGTTTGCTTTGTTTTTGCCATGATGTTGCAAAGGAGGGATCTTTTTCCATGTCCTTTCTATTATTTGTAGATAAAAAGAAAAATAACATTAGCAGCATCAAAATGCCCTGGCAGGACTCCTGGGTGGCTTAGTCAGTTAGTTGTCTGCCTTCGGTCCTGGGACCGAGTCCTGCCTCGGGCTCCCTGTTCCGTGAGGAGTCTCCTTCTCCCGCTGCCCCTCCTCCCGCTCGTTCTCTCATTCCGTCTCTCAAATAAATAAATAAAATCTTAAAGAAGAAAAGGGCCCTGACAAGAGGAAGCCTCTATGTTGGGTACATTGCCAGGGCCCCTCATTTCTTAATCTGCCTCTTCTGCCCTTTGAGTTTGAGACAGGCCCGAACAGCCTCAGGAATCCCTTCGCAGGACGCCTCATCTCTGGGGGCTTGGCCCTCCCGGGTGGTGCTGGCCAGTCTGCCACCCTTTCTGTAGATTCCAGAAAGTTTGTTCTCACCAGTTCCAGCAGAAAGATCCACCTCCCTAAAAATCAGAGAAACAGGGTCATAGAGTGTTTTCCTTTCTCTGTAAAGACCAAATGGATATTTTCTTATGATTACAAATGTTTATTTTACCCTATTTATTTATGTATTTATCAGATTTTATTTATTTATTTGACAGAGAGAGACACAGCGAGAGAGGGAACACAAGCAGGGGAAGTGGGAGAGGGAGAAGCAGGCTTCCCGCGGAGCAGGGAGCCCGATGCGGGGCTTGATCCCAATCATGACCTGAGCCGAAGGCAGATGCTTAACCACTGAGCCACCCAGGTGCCCCTATTTTACTTTAAAACTATAACTTAAAAAGCTGTGGTCTGTTTATTTTTATCAGATATTTGGAGGATACAGAAATCTACAGTAATATTTGTAGATTGCCAGAAACTTGGAGGTCAAGTAAATGCACTTTATCACAGATTCTGTATAGCAATGGGCTGAAATAAAGAACCAGCGCACTTGTTAGGGTAAAAATAAAGCCCTGTCCTTGGTTTAAAAATAGAAACACCTGTATATTATAGAATTGGGAAAAGATGTACTTGTCAGCAACAAGTCTGGATAACATTTAGGGAATCCGGTTGGCTTATGATACAAGACATTCTGAGTTTAAAATGCCAAAACTCAGTAGGAGCCTTGGCTTTTCTTCACTATCCACAAAAGTCATGAGGCACCCTTGCAGGGAACTCTTCACTCACGTGGTCAGTCTAGCAGAGCAGGAAATAGGCGGTATTCAACATTGGGGCCTTAATAGGTTCTTTTGAACATATTTGTTTTAGCTGAACTTATTTTTTTAGTGGCTATTATTTATGATTTTAGTTAAAGTTACTTATTTTAAGTTAATTACCAAAGATATCTTTTTAATCTTGTTTTTTTCTATTCATCTGTTCCGGTAAGAATTTTCCCTTAGGTATTTTATTTTCCGTTCCTCTGTTTTGAAATAGCAAGCATGAGGACAACTGTGGGGATTATCTGTGCACTCAGTGCCTGAGTTGGAAGGCATTTCCCCCTTCCAGTTAGCCCTGCAGGCCCCACCAGTAAACACCCTTTCCCTTTGAAAATAAATTACTTACAATTAATATTAAATTCAGTCTATGGTGCAGGATGTACATGTACATCTAAATAATTGTCTTAAGTATATTTTCTTTACATGAAGCAAATGTTCCATATTGTGAAAATAAGAACATTGAAATGAGAAGACACCCAGGGGGTGTTAAGTGAATTTGGAGAAGTTCCGAATCTCCAAGACTCCCAGCTCAGCACAGGAAGCCTGCTCCCTGGGACAACATAGAATGTAAGTGAAGGTAATCTTCTACATTTCAAATTTCTAATTCCTTTAGGAAAAAAAACCGTGATCTAACATCCATGTTCTATACAACTGATAGATATCATCCATGTTATGCAAACAGACCTAGATACATTAGAAAAAGGTGACACAAGATTGAGAAAATGACCTCAATTCAGTCCCTTAGGTTTAAGTCACATAATCTAGAAACTCTGAGTAAGAATCCTGAGAAGACATCCCATAGAGGGTCCACATTTGGGTTAGTGAAATCCCTTTCACATCAGTTTGCCTGTGGTGGACATGCGTGGTTTCCAGGGGCCTGGCATCCCTACCCCCACCTTCTAGTAACCGCGCTAACGTTTGTTTGAGAACATTTGTTGAGAACTCCCTCCTCACTGCATGCAGCTCTGGAGGGGCTGCCAACCTCTGTGCTGTTAGCACGAGCCGCAGAGATGTCTCTGAGGATATACCTGATAGGTGTTAACCAGCTAGCACAGTGTTGACTCGAGCAGAAACGCATGGCTGAGGGGTGAGAAGCATGACCCCAAAGCCATCCCGTCAGAATTTCCAGAAAGATGTGAGGTTTGGAGAGTCTGATAAACCCCCATAGCCCATCCAGTTTGGAAAGAAGTAGAAAATATTCATACATGGGCAAAGATTTAGAAACCCTGATACCTGATACCTCCCTGAACATCATAATTAAAGATATATGCCAGGAAAATGAGAAATAAAATAAGTCAAGAATGAGGAAATCATAGCTGGGAAGGACTGGAAATACAAATGGAAACAAGTTAAATAAAAAGATATATATCTAAAATAATCGTCTTAACTACACTTTTTATGTGAAGCAAAT